TTTTATTAATTTTAAAAGCGTGAATTTATGAAAATGCCCTAGAGGCAATGACTTTGACTTCCGTTGACCATCGCCTAGAGAGACTTATGACTTATTCTTTTAGCATATCCCCGTAGTACTCGTTGGTATGAGCGCATAGGTGAAAGCCGTTTGCGAGTTCGAATTATAACGGTATAGTTACGGACGTTTGAAATTGGTTATTCAAAGTTTAGTTTTAATTAAATTGAATTTCCATCTTGTGGGAAAGAAGCCCAATTAGCTTTTAGTAAGGAAATAAGGAACCAATCTTATTATTTATTTTAAGGACCAATTAGACAAGGGGAGAAAGAAAAAAGACCAATGGGAAGAGGAGAGAGAAGCATCCCTCACCATTTCATCAGCTTGTGCACACCACACAACCGAGTTCGACCTCTCATTTTCCAAGGTCGATTCCGGCCAACTCCGATAGAGTTTTTCGACGCCACCACCGCCATCTTGAAGCTCTCATTCCCCTCTACAAAACCCACTAGAACCACCTTGATTAACCACGGTATGTGACGGTTTGAGGCCATGAAAGTCGACAAAAATCAACAGTGCTTCGGCTACTCTTTTCAATATTCCGAAGAATCGGCAAAGCAATGGCTGATGTCACCACTTGGGCTTTGTAGCCCATCATCCCAGGAGAAAATCCCAACCAAGCTTCACCCCATTGGACCACCATAGACGACGAATCGACACCGGGAAGCTTTAGGCACCCGTTGGCTTTGTGGACAAAATTGACCACCTTCCGTCCACTTTTGGACTTCGTGGCATGTATGAAAGTTGTTCCTCTCTTCGAGATCTTCATTTCTGTGAAGTTTGAGAATTTTTAGAAATAGTTGGATTTTCCAGCGAGTCGGGGTGGCCGACCGCCGTGTGCGGCGGCACGTGAGCCGAGTCACCCCTAATCTTTCTAAGCTAAGTTTGACACCCCAATTCCATAGGTGAAGTCCAATTGATGAAATCTCATCGTTTGAACCTAGTTTTGATAAAGACCGCTACTTGAACATTATTTCCAAAAGTATATTATTGCGTAGAATTATTGTGAATGCTTTAAAGCACGAAGGTGAACACAGGATGCACAGATAAGTTTAGGTGAGTATATGTTGTGAAATGTGGGATGCATGGTTATGATTACATTTTATTTGGAACGATTGAGTGATGGCATGCCTATATTTATGTTTTAAGCAACTCCGACATTGTCGTACATGTTGTCTGTAAGTCGTACATGCCATATTAGATGCATCTAGAGCTCATAACCCTGCACCCCGATGTTAGTGCTCTCGTCCGAGGACAAGGCCTAGCCTTCACATGATCGTAACACTTAAGCGTAATTATTTACACCCAGCCTATCGTACAGACCACAAGAGGTGGTTCCGACTCGTGTGCAAGGATATGTGATGAGCTATGGATTCAGCCGTATAAGCCACAAAAGGTGGATCCGGCTAACATATTACTGGGATATTGACTGATGAGATATGGATAAGTCGTACATGTCACTATAGGTGACTCCGACTTATGTGCTAGCATTGATTGTTGAGATATGGATAAGTCGTACATGTCACTATAGGTGACTCCGACTTATGTGCTAGCGTTGATTAATGAGATATGGGTGCAGTCGTACAAGTCAAATTAGGTGACTCCGACTTGCATGCTAATATAGATTATTGAGCATATGATTATTTATATTACTGATGAGTTGTTGTGTCATGGTATATTTATGGAATTATTGTTGATATATTTTTGATCTCACATTGATACGTAATATGATTTTCTGGAAACTATACAGGTGTTGCATCGAGGGGTTATAATGTTTTAGAAGGCTTCTATTAGAAATTTTATTTCTAGGGCCACTCACTCCTGTTTAGTTTTCACCCTCCAGGTTTTATTAGCTGAGCTTTCTTATCGTCAAGGATTCGTGGCAAATCTTAGTATTGGAGATTTTTCGAGGGTATGATTCTTAATCCACTCTACTGTACTTACTTATGCTCTAACGTCACATGTGAAGTGGGTTCATTCCCGCTCACCAGCTCACTCTGGTTTTTAGGCACTCTTAGGTTTAAATTTATTCACATTTTTCCACATCATCATACTTTATGGCTTCGTCACCTTCTAGGTGTCGGCCATCACAATTCGATTCGGAGTCCTAGTGGACATTTTGGGTCAGGGTGTGTCAATTTGGTATCAAAGCATAAGTTGGGCAGTAGTGCGTTCATCACACGCGTGATGGGATCATTCTTTGTTTTCGAGTCTAATGTTTGAATCTTGCCACCTCGTCAAATACGAAAAATATGTTAGTTGTTCCTAAGTTTTGGGCATATTTGATGACTCGTTGATCTTTAGAAGATCATTTTGGTGAGTGTCTCTAGATTATAAGCAAAGAACTTTTCTGCCAAGGAAAGGTATGGAATTGAGACTAGTTGATGGCCCTAAAGTGGGGTTAATGTATCATTATTGGTGTATCGCCAGGGATTTATGGGTCAATCTCATCACTATTGTTAATCGCCATTATTAAACCTTTCGAGAATAGAAATAAAAAATAGTTTTGATTCTTTGGCAATATTCAGGAGAATACCACCATTCCACTTCTTCGTACTACATTAGTTTTCTTGCATCTTTTCGCACAAATCCTATTTCAAATTGGTGGTCGATGTAACAAACTTTTGAAATTCAGAGTTTTCTCGTGAAGCTTGTTGAATTAATAGTAGTAGTCTTACCAATGTATAGAACCATTTGGAATGTACTATTTTATCCGTGATTTAAAGTTAACAATTATCATCTTTGCTTGGAAATCGAATGACATTTCTCTATGGAGAACGTGTCTAAAATCTTTATCAACCTTAGAACTTCTTAAATACACTTACTTTTTGGAAAGGACTAAGTTTATGACAGTGGCGGTAGAAGAATTTAATCAGCAGCTATGAGTGCACTATAGTGTATCTTTTCGGTTGTATGAAAAGGAGATATTTACTCTTGAACACTTTCAGCTTGTCCTATTCTATTTTAGTTGGAAAATACGAGTATCGATATGGAGTTACCTTTAACCTATCAAGAAATGGTTTGAATGATTATAATCATTTTGTTATATGAATGGAGTTGGGAAGTATCATTATACACTCTCAGTTCGAGGTATTTTGTATGTGTAGAGAATGTGAAGATCAATAATCGTGATGCTGAACCAATGTTACGCTCATGTGGTGTCCAATTAGTGGTAGTTTTACTTAAATAGAAAGCAGTATTCTTCCAGCCTCAAAGCTTAAAGTATTGGCGATGGTTTATTTTCTTAATATGGGCGTTGAAATTTCAACAACAAGACACTTGTGAAGACAACTAAGATAGAAGTGGGATGTTGTTAACTTATCTGTGGGATGTGATCTAAAAGTCCTCGTTCGTGACATGATCAAATGTGGAGATAAAACAGAAATTAAAATTGAGGCTCCACTTGAGGTGATTGAAGAGAATTTTCAGTCTAGGCGTCTTGCCTTCGGTTAAAGTAGAAGGATGTTGAGGAAATAAAGTCCAAACAAACTGGATAACCACAGTTTCTTCTCTATTTACTTTCGGAGGATGATGGCATTATGAGAAAGCTGCTTCTAGATTTTTATACAAGTTCAGGGAATAAAAAACCCAACAAGATTATCATCTTAGTGTATTTATATTTCATCGTGTTATGTGTTTCACTTCCGAGCCTTTGGAAGTCTTTTTAAAGGTTGTAAGTATTAAATGTTGTTTAGTATCACATTTCCACCTCTAAACTAACGATTAGATTGAAGCGAGTTACTCAGACTTTAGTGGACGTGTTGCATTTTGTTCGTCCCACAAGTTGTAAGGGTGTAACTGTTGAGCAAAAATTGTACATAATATATAAACAAATAATTCACTCGACACAATTTCACCCTCGTTCATTTTTCCGAAGAGGGTTTTATTAATTCGAGTTCGACCCATTCTAGGCTACGCGCCTATTAATTACAGCCTTTCTTTTGGGAAAGGAATACCCTTTGATTCTAATTCGAATAAAAATGTAACTTGAGGATTTGGGTGTTTGTTTGATTTTGTGACTGCATCTAGGTAGAATCCTAGATTGCCTACGTACCCTCGTTGAGGGATCAAGTCACTCGTAGTTCATGGATTTGGTACTTATTTGGATTTGATGCCTTGTGCAGTTTTAGCTCATGCGGGCGAGGGGTTTGATGCCTTGTGCAGTTTCAGCTCGTGCAGGCAAGGAGCATTTGATGCCTTGTGCAGTTTTAGCTCGTGCAGGCGAGGACTTTAAGCCATTGGAGCTATTGGTGCCTTGTGCAGTTTTAACTCATGCGGGCGAGGAGCATAGTGCCTTATGCAGTTTCAGCTCATGCGGGCGATGAGCTTCAGCTCATGCGGGCGAGGAGCATTTGAAAATTTGATATGGCTTCGTGCCATTTGAGACTTTCCTTCGGCTTTGTGCCATTTGAGACTTTCCTTCGGCTTTGTACCATTTTGAGATTTGATACGGCTTCGTGCCATTTGACTTCTTCAAGAATTTTATGGGAGCTTGATCCATGTATTTATCGAGCTTTTTTACTTTGAGATGGTTTGCGTCCACGGTGTTTGGAACGATGTGTTGTCATTATCTCTGTGCTTATACTGCAAGTTTCGTTGACTTGGATCTAACTTAATGGGTGCTTGAATCTACAAAGTCCACTTTGGTGAAAACAAAATGATAGACTCACGGGCTTAGCTTCCATTAGCTTGCTGAAAAGCTTCTTTCATATTTTAATCCCTAGTAAATTGGGACTTCATCTTTACTTGACTTTTCCTCATGGTTTCGTAGCAATTCCATCCTATTTGAAATAGGACTTTTTGAAACTTCGAAAGAATGAAGGGCCGGCCCCCTTTTTTCCTTACTTTTCTAGGACCTTTGTCAGTTTGTCTTCTTATTTAAATTCTGAATAAAGCCCATAATTTTGATGGGTGCAGTGACTTTCTTTTGCTCTCCACGTGAGATGCATACTTTTCTTTTGAACCTACTTTGAATTTTCAAACCTTCACAAAACAAGCTTTACTTTTTTCATGCTTTTAAGTTTTCACAACTTCCCACGTGGGTTCGTGATTTTCAGGAAGCTTTATCCACCCCTCCTTTTCTTTTGTGCGGTTTTGATACCTACAAATCCAACAAAAACTTTTATGCGGCTTTATTCCTCCCTCTCTGGCGAAATGGGTTTTTTTAAGAGTCCCCATTTTTCTTGGCTCTCATACAGGGTAATTTTCCTCCAGAAGCAACTGATATCCTTGGGTACTCGTCATATTTCAACTTTCTATTTGGATTGGGTCACCGTGGATTTTTCAGTGAGGATGGATAAGGTTTGTTGAAGTTCAATCTTATTTTCAAACTTCTTTGATTTAACATCGTTTCCCTCGAGTCCATGAAGGCTTTCATTTTTCCCCTCTTTGATTTCTCAGGTCCCCGAAGGCTTTCACTTTTCCTCTGCTGTATTGCTCTTTTGCTTTTGCCACTTCACTTGTGTTTCTTTTTATGAATCAAGAACTCAAAACGAAGAGGGCGGTGGGAGCGAAGCAGGTTACCCATTTTCATTTTCTTTATGTTCTGAATTTGTTTATGTATTTGGAGTGAAACGAAGCTCTACACTTTGATAAATTTCTTGAATCTTCCGTGCATGCAGGCGTCATAGGTAAAGGCTTCTCTTCTATTTGGTTGTTGGACGAACCTGTTTTTGCAGTACGAGTTCGTTGAAGACAAGTATTGATTCATGGCTCCCAAGGTGAGAATTTGCACTCTTAAATTCGTAGTAATGCATCCCTCGTATCTGCTACATTTTGAATGAGTTTTGATGTATTAGAGTGTAAATACTCTCTGGCATTTCTGTTTCCACAGGGGAAATTATTTGATTGGTCTTGACAATGGGAATTTAGACACCCTTTTTTGTGTTCCCATTCGTATTTTGTCTTGGATACTTGCCATATTTTCCAATTAACACTTGTACAAAGGGATGCTTTTCCCAAAATCTTTTGTAGTTTTGACTTGTCTTCTAGTTCCTTGGGTGTTTGCCATGTGAATGAGTTTCCTGAATAATTTGGCAGCAAGCTTTCCCTTCTTTGTAGACTTGGGACGGCAAGTGTTTAATATAAAGGCTTTGAACCTTCTTTTAAATGTTTGTGGCAGAGAAGTAGTGAAAATTTTGACACAATGAAAACTCTTTGTTCTATCTTCACGTGACAAAGAAGGCTTTGAACCTTCTTTTAGCTGTTTATTCAAAGATTGGGAAATTTCCTTTCTTTCCTTTTTTGTCTTGTAGCAGTCTTTGGTCAAGAGTTGTGTTTGAAAACTTTTCTTCTTGTGGAATTGGACCAAGCAGGAGTCGGTCAAGGGAAGTTTTGGCTTTCTTTTCCTTTGCAAACCATTTTTTCCATTTTCTCTTTTTTTCTTGGACTCTATCCCAAATAGTTTTTCGTATCATTTTAGCCAAAAGCATCTTCCATGTTTTGTACCCGTGGGTAGCAAAAACACCAAACAGAATAATTTCTTCTCTCTTTCTTGTGTTGCATCTTTGTATATGTTGCCTCCTTGCTGTCTTATTTCTCGGGAACTTAAGCTTAGAACTTTGAAACTGCACTTGACAATTTGGCGAAGGGGTAGACCATTTAAACTTGGTTAAAATTTCACGGGGTGGTCTAGGCCACCCCGAAGAAATTCATGGGATTCTTGGAGATTATCTTTGCTGTAGCTGGGGGAGTCAGTGGATATTCAGAGTCTCCAACTCCATTTAATTGGTGAAGAACGCCAAACAAAGAGGCAAAGGTCTTATATGCCTTTGCTTATTTCCCTTTCTTCATTCATTTTTTGTTTGTCTGCAACTTTTTATTTGTGTTGGTTGCTGCAATGCTTTTTTTTGTTCTTCCTGCAACATAACATAAAACGAGAGGAAAAGAATAATTTTAACAGAACTTGCTTCATACCTGGTGATGAATGTTCTTCTTTTGGATCTTGATTCAAAAGCACAAAATGGTTGAATAGCTTGCTCTCTTTCCTGACAACACCTTGTTGCTTTGAGTATTTTCTCTCAATGTTTCTCTATTTTTTTTCTGCAGAGTATCCCCTATCTTTTTTCTGACCCCCTCCTTTTTTTCTTGTTGTAGTTGATGCCTATTTATAGGCATCATAGGAGGGTTCCAGAGCTTGTTACGTGGGGGGGAAAGATGGAGGGCATGACTTCCTGCCACTCTCTGTTAACCACCATTTCTGACTCCACGTTCCTTTTTGTTTGCAGAAAATGGGGAGCACTTGTATTTTTTTCTTTTGTGTATGTTACTTCCCCCCTTTTGTAGGAGAAAATAAATTTTTTATTTATTTCTGAATGTTTTTGTGGGTAAAGCCCATCCTCATCTTTTGGGCTTGGATTACACCTTGTAGTTTGACCCAATTTGTGTGGACTCTATTTTTTCATATGTTTATTATTTTTTTGTTCAACAATAACATACCATTATCTCTATTTTAGTTGCTTGTAACTATGGTTAGCTATGATGCCATTAGAGTCGATATACAGAGACTTTTTGCACAGTACATGATTGTTAGACACTTAGCCTTGTTAGAGTTATGTGTAACTGAGGTTACATTCCTGGTTATGGGTACGGCACCATTTGAGATATGGTAACAATATGTGAGTTGCAGCAGAGAGTTGTGGGTAGGTATTAGAATGATGGAGATTGTGACACGGAAATTTTATGGTATTGACGATGCTGCCTGATAAAGTAGCGCGTGAGCACGTTTGAGGCTTGTTCAAACATTGTTTGTGTATTTCCCAATGGGGGGGCATGATGGTTATAGTGCACCTTCAGGAAATTGTTACTTAGCATGACAACAGTGAGTTGTCAATATCATGGACTGCATACCGTATTATCAAAGACTTATTCATTGGATTAGTGGAGCAAATAAATATGTAGGTCTTTTTACATTAGTACATATATTTTATTCTTCCCTATCTTTGAGTTTTGTGTATCAATGATTTTAAAATTTCGGGTATGAAATTTTCTTAAGGGGGGTAGATTGTGACAACCCGTACCAAATTTTACATTTTTTATTAATTTTAAAAGCATGAATTTACGAAAATGCCCTAGAGGTAAGGACTTTGACTTCCGTTGACCATCGCCTAGAGAGACGTATGACTTATTCTTTTAGCATATCCTTGTAGTACTCGTTAGTACGAACGCATAGGTGATAGCCGTTTGCGAGTCCGGATTATAACGGTATAGTTACGGACATTTGAAATTGGTTATTCAAAGTTTAGTTTTAATTAAATTGAATTCCCATCTTGTGGGAAAAAAGCCCAATCAGCTTTCAGCAAGGAAATAAAGAACCAATCATAGTATTTCTTTACGGACCAATCAGACAAGGGGAGAAAGAAAAATGACCAATGGGAAGAGGAGAGAGAAGCATCCCTCCCCATTTCATCAGCCCGTGCACACCACACAATCGAGTTCGACCTCTCATTTTCCAAGGTCGATTCTAGCCAACTCTGATGGAGTTTTTCGACCCTACCACCGTCATCTTGAAGCTCTCATTCCCCTCTACAAACCCACCCAAGAACCACCTTGATTAACCACGGTAAGTGGCGGTTTGTGGCCACGTAAGTCGACAAAAATCAACGGTGCTTCGGCTACTCTTTTCAATATTTTGGTCAATCGGCAAAGCAATGGCCGATGCCACCACTTAGGATTTGTAGCCCATCATCCTAGGAGAAAATCCCAACCAACCTTGACCTCGTTGGACCACCGTAGACGACGAATCGACGCCGGGAAGCTTTAGGCACCCGCCGGCTTTGTGGACAAAATTGACCACCTTCCGTCCACTTTTGGACTTTGTGGCAGGTATAAAAGTTGTTCCTCTCTTCGAGATCTTCATTTCTGTGAAGTTTGAGTTTTAGAAATAGTTAGATTTTTCGGCAAGTCGGGACGGTCGACCGTCGTGTGCGGCGGCGCGTGGCAGCGACGCGTGAGCCGAGTCACCCCCTGACCTTTCTAAGCTAAGTTTGACTCCCCAATTCCATAGGTGAAGTCCGATTGATGAAATCTCATTGTTTGAACATAGTTTTGATAAAGACCTCTACTTGAACATTATGTGAATTGATGATCGAACCGTTGGATCGTCACCAAACTTTAATAAATTATAGTATGTAATATTTAAGGATATTAGAAACTTACCAATTGGGAATCTGACGTACTGATCTTTCCGAATTAGATTTGTAAGTTCATAAAATAAAATGTTGACTACCACTTGATTTTGGCAATTGGCGGAGATCCGACCGTTGGATCATAATGAAACCTTAGGACGTTGTTCTAGAAATATAATGTGCATCCTTGGAAGTAACGGATCGAAAATCCGTGATGCAGATCTTCCGAATTGAATTACGTAGGGATGTGTTTTATGTAAATTATGTATTTTATCGGTAAGAACTCTGAGATGTGATTTGATAATTGTTCTAGGTGACGATGGTTCGTGATGTCTCGATATGCGTGCTAGGAAGTCATAGCGCGGACCTCAGTTGAGTGGGTCTTTTCCTTTCTATCGTGTGTGTCTTTTCCTTTCTATCGTGTGTGTATATATAAATATATGATTGATAATTCCACAAACGGTTATAAATTGATTATTGCATATAATTACTGTGAATGCTTTGATGTACTAATGCGAACTACGAATGACTTGATCCCTGTTTAGGGTACTAGGCAATCTAACCAAACGTTAAATGCAGCTATACCATAAATGAGACTAAATAATTGAGACAATAGCCTTGTTTGGGAAATTGTGCAATGTGAGGGACATTGGTGGAAAATGTGAGATTTAACCTTATGATTTAGTGATTGGATGTTGGTCATAAATCATTGTGTGAAGGATCGAGAAATTAAGTAAAGAATCGTAAGTATTGATAGTTAGTTAAATTAGTGTTTAGTTGAGCTTGTCACCGATAATTATTCTCGAAAATTAATAGTTTGGGAGTAGGGCGTTATAAATTGTGCATTTTACGCCACATTATTGATATATATATATATATATATATATATATATATATATATTTGGAAGCACTACGATATGATTAAGTTTTGGATTGCATCAGAGCATGTCCATAAGTATATTATTGCGCATAATTATTGTGAATGCTTTAAAGCACAAAGGTGAACGCAGGATGCACAGATAAGTTCAGGTGAGTATATGTTGTGAAATGTGGGATGCATGGTTATGATTACATTTTATTTGGAACGATTGAGTGATGGCATGACTATATTTATGTTTTAAACAACTCCGACATTATCGTACAGGCTGTCTATAAGTCGTACATGCCATATTAGATGCATCTAGAGCTCATAACCTTGCACCTCGATGTTAGAGCTCTCGCCCGAGGACAGGGCCTAGCCTTCACGTGATCATTCAGCTCCCGCACCACACGCTTACCTTGGATTTAAGGCAAGTGCCAGCCTGTCGTACATACCATATTAGGTGGTTCCGACTCGTATGTGACTTGCGATACTTCGCACAGCCTTCACGTGATCGTAACACTTGAGCGTAATTATTTACACCCAGCTTGTCATACAGACCCCAAGAGGTGGTTCCGACTCGTGTGCAGGGATATGTGATGAGTTATGGATTCAACCGTACAAGCCACAAGAGGTGGATTCGGCTGACATATTACTGGGATATTGATTGATGAGATATGGATAAGTCGTACAAGTCACTATAGGTGACTCCGACTTATGTGCTAGCATTGATTGATGGGATATGGATAAGTCGTACATGTCACTATAGGTGACTCCAACTTATGAGGTAGCATTGATTGATGAGAAATGGATAAGTCGTACAAGTCATTATAGGTGACTCCGACTTATGTGCTAGCATTGATTGATGAGATATGGATAAGTCGTACATGTCACTATAGGTGACTCCGACTTATGTTCTAGCGTTGATTGATGATATATGGGTGCAGTCGTACATGTCACATTAGGTGACTCCGACTTGCGTGCTAATATAGATTATTGAGCACATGATTATTTATATTACTGATGAGTTGCTATGTCGTGGTATATTTATGGAATTACTGTTGATATATTTTTTATCTCACATTGATACGTGATATGATTTTCTGGAAACTATACAGGTGTTGCATCGAGGGGTTATAACGTTTTAGAAGGCTTATATTAAAAATTTTATTTCTAGGGCCACTCACCCTTGTTTTGTTTTCACCCTCCAGGTTTTATTAGCTAAGCTTTCTTATCATCAAGGATTCGTGGCAAATCTTAGTATTGGAGATTTTTCGAGGGTATGATTCTTAATTCACTCTAATGTACTACTTATGCTCTAAGGTCACGTGTGAAGTGGGTTTTTTTCCGCTCACCAGCGCACTCTGGTTTTTAGGCACTCTTAGGTTTAAATTTATTCACATTTTTCCACATCATCATACTTTATGGCTTCGTCACCTTCCAGGTATCGGCTAGCACAACTCGATTCGGAGTCCTAGTGGACATCCCGGGTCGGGATGTGTCATTGCTCCTCAAGAATTTTAAAATTACAGTTGAACAAAAGAAGTTAAATATTCAACAAGTCACTTAATACTACAATTTAGTAGTATTCCTCTTTACTTGTAAATTAGAGATCTTAGATTTGGATTCTTGCTAAAGGCGAATTTGAACCACATTATTACTATCTCATTCATTGTGAGGCTAAGCCTACCATTTTTCTCTTAGTGTAGATAATATCACATTTTAAAAATAAAATAAAAAACATTATTCAACAAAGATTAGTTTTGAATTAATTTAAAATTTAAAACCTTTTGAATGAATTTAAACTTCGGAAAAAAAATAACAAAACCCCCCACTAACGTGGGGTTTATGTTTAACTTCTAATTTATGTTCAAATAATTTTTTTAATAAAAAATATATAAATAAAAAAATTGGATTCTTTTTTTTTTTTTTGGTAAAAAACCATAAAAACCTTAATTTAACATACAAGAGGCTAGTATATACAAAAACTTGAGACGCGTTCTTTCAAAAATGAGATGGAGTTGTTAATTGTGAAAGACCGTTTTAAGCCAAAATTTAATTATAAATACGGTATAGTATTAACTAAAGCTCTCATACTACTCAATTGTATCGATATTAAGAAATTGACTGAATAGACGAACTATAAACCTTAAGTTCCCTTCATTTCTGTATATTTGCAGTTGCTTTTCCATATAAATCTTCCCTTGCAAAGAAATTCAAAGAGCTCTAATAGTATGGACTTTATAGCCTGCAAAGAAATTCAAAGAGCTCTAATTGTATGGACTTTATAGCCTGCTATCCAACAATTGCCTATACGATATCTTCAAATCCTTCGCATAAATAACATGGAGCACTTTGACCGTTGCCTAGGTATAAACCTGCTGTCCAACTATTCCCACACGATAGGTGATCAAAATGGATAATGCTAGGAAGATCAATTTTTTTAAACAAAATTTTTTTCAACCAAATAATGTAATTCCTTTTTAAGTACCACTGAACTTTAGAACTAAATGACCATATACTAATTAATAAAACACTCATTGTCAACCAAAATCCTATAAAATTACCAGTTTAACCCTCTAATTAAAACAGAACATAAATAAGAAATATGAGGCAGAAATATAATTTTACACTATCAAATTTTGTTTTTTTTCAAAGTCTTACCTACATGTAATCCTAACATATCTCTAATTAAAAAAAAAAAAAAATATTCCCACCCCCACATTCTCTATCAATCTCCTTCTATTTCAAAAACAAAAATAAAGAAAATTCTCACACTTTTTGTGTAGCCATATGCTAATATATATTGAGAAAACCCTCATTGTCAACTTTTTACCATTTTTTTTTTTTAGTTTTATCCTACACTCTTGACAAAAAGAAGGGCAAAATAGTAATTTTGTATCTTTTGACAAAATAACAATCATATCCCCTCACTTTTAATAAACGATATTTACATAAAAAAGGTAAAATGATAATTATGCAATATTAAGAAAAATATGCCCTTATTAAGAAATCACATCATCATTATCTCATATATTAAGAAAACTCTCCTTGTCAACTTTTTGCCACATTTTTATTTTATTTTACCCTCACTTTTGATACTCTTGACAAAAAGGAGGACAAAATAGTAATTTTGTATCTTTTCACAAAATAACAATCACATCCCGCATTTTTAATACACAATATTTACATAAAGAAGGCAAAATGATAATTATGCAATATTAAGAAAAATACACCATTATTAAGAGACCCCATCATCGTCTCATACTCTTTTTAAAAATTTAAAAACCTAATCACTTCTTAATAAAAAACAAAAATGAAAATGAAATTGTTCCCACACAAATGCTAGCACAACCCACAAAGTTATGCGCATGCATATATATAACGCACAGTACGAACAAACAAAGGCCGCCAAAGGTTAGCTCAACCCACAAAGTTATGCATAGCTATATATATGTGTGTGTGTGCACGCGCTCCTTTCTGGAAAAGGATCATCTCTGGATCTCTTCCACCAAATTCACCCGATCAATCCGAGCCTTTAAAATTTGATCCAACGGCTACCAACAAGACGCCTTTTAAAGGTTATAATAACTTTAGCCGATTGATCAAATCTCAAGGACTCGGATTAGGTGATTGGGAAGATTTGATGGAAGGGATCCATCCCTTTCCCTGAGAGGCGGTGGAGAAGGGGGAGGGGGAGGTGTCGGTGCCAGCAGTTTCCTCTTGTACAAGTTATACACCAGGCTTGACCATAGCTCTCCGTGCGACTATTTCACCAGGGTGGGCTACTTCTGGGTCCTCCTGACAACACCAACAGACTATTTCAGCATAAGGGCTGACAAGCTCCCCGGATGGGACAAAATAAGTCAAGGGGCAGGTTGCAACAGTGTGGTCATCCTTCCAACAAATTATACAGGTACCATACTTCTCTGATTCGGAACTATCTGTGACAAAACCAAAAAAGAAAAAGAAATAAATACCGCTGATCACACATCGTACGTTCAACGAGTAATCGTTTTCATTTTAATCCAGAAATGTATTGAAAGACAATAAACCAATCGACAACATAAACAAAAACATATAAATTAACAGATAGATGAAATGACATGTCAATGATTGCTCCCATCAACAAATTACTAGTTACTTATATATATGTATATAATCCTTTCTGGGCTATGCATCGCAATCATTCATGCACCAGATGAAAAGGCTTGAGCAACAAGTTATGCAACTTGAAAAACTTTGGCACAATATTTCCTCAAACCAGTAGCAATAAATCATCAGACCTCTCAACCTCTAGTTATACGAAAGCACTAAAGACCTAGAGGAAATAACATGCACAAAGGAGCATCTCAGGGCTCACACGGTAATACTAGGTGCAGAAGGATAAATTTCACAAAACTTTCGGCAACCAATTGATTCCAACATGAAAAAAAACACAATGGGTAAGCTAGAAAGAACGCATAATTAGGTAAGCCCGACATACCGACTCATTCATGCACCAAACGAAAAGACTTGAGTAACCAAGTTATGTAACTTGAAAAACTTTGGCACAATATTTCTTCAACCCAGTAGCAATAAATCGTCGGACCTCTCAACCTCTAGTTATATGAAAACACTGAAGACCTAGAGGAATATAACATGCACAAAGAAGCATCTCAAGGCTCACACGGTAATACTAGGAGCAGAAGGATAAATTTCACAAAACTTTCAGCAACCAATTTGATTCCGACATGAAAAAAAAACACGATGGGTAAGCTAGAAAGAACGCATAATTAGGTAAGCCCGACATACCGACTCATTCATGCACTAAACGAAAAGACTTGAGTAACCAAGTTATGTAACTTGAAAAACTTTGGCACAATATTTCCTCAAACCAGTAGCAATAAATCATCGGACCTCTCCACCTCTAGTTATATGAAAACACTAAAGACCTAGAGGATATAACATGCACAAAGGAGCATCTCAAGGCTCACACAGTAATACTAGGAGCAGAAGGATAAATTTGTGAAGGCAGAAGGATAAATTTCACAAAACTTTCGGCATCAAATTGATTCCGACGTAAAAAAACACAATGGGTAAGCTAGGAAGAAAGCATAACTAGGTAGGCCAGACATACCGACTCATTCCGCCGATTTGTGTATTGTAATTTATATTGAAAACACAAAAGTAAGGCAGTACTTGATGGGGGACTGTTAAAGGGCTGAGAATCAACTAGACGAACACTGGCACAACTAGAGAACGAGACTAAGATAAAGAGCCAAGCTCTGTTCATAAATCCATTCAAATACCTCCCCCCCCCAACCTCCAGAATTCTAGCATTTTAAAAGGCCTAGCCAACTGCTTAATTAAACGCTAACACAATTTCCTAGTCCACTAAAACTTCATAAATGATAATCAAGTCCCAACCCAAAAACATAATTAAAACACAACTTACCAAAATACAAATTACTAAAATATAAATTAGCCATTTATATATGAGAGCTCAATGAATTTCTCTTTCATGCACAGACTCGCCAGGCGAGAAAGAACTCGCCCACGAGTTCACTGATTCAAAATCGATCCATAACCCAAAGTGTTGTAACCAACTTTTCTTCGCATGCTTAGTTTCCTTTTTCAAGCTAACAAACAACTTCTGTGCATAATAGAAAAAGAAATTTAAGTATACCAGAATCCGGCCAATCTTTTTCGTCAGGATCGTCCGCCTCTGGTCCTTGTTCCCCAACCGCTTCTGGTCCTTGTGCCTCAGCCGCCTTTTGTCCTTGTGCCTCAGCCGCCTTCGGTCCTTGTGCCTCTGCCGCCTCCGATTCTTCTACCTCTGCAAGCCGTGGTTGTTTAGTAGGCCGCATCGGTTCGTGATCGGGACGGATCCGGCCGGATCCTGGTGTCTGGGGCGGCATGGGTGTGTCTCTGTGAATTGGGGAGAGAGATCGGAAAACCTAGGGTTTGCTCTTGTGGTGAGAGTGAGAGGTAGCGTACCAAACGCGAGAGATACCGACCTTTACCCTTCGTTCGAACTTATCTCTACTGTTAAATAATGCAAGGGGGAGGCCCACAATTTAACCCATCCTTAATGTCGGTCAGAAATTGACAGTTGGACTACCAAAAAAGGAAATTGAAAACAGGAGGCCCACCATTTTTTTTCAAGTTATAAAAATTCTAATTTTCTTGTGTTTCATTCGGGCTTGATTTTCATTTGGTCCTGAAAACAAGAGAATGCCCCATTCCAACCAGAGAAAACAAATTCAACCCGGAAACCATAATTAACACCAAACCTAGATAAATTCACACAAATCATACAAAACCCATCTCACATAGATCTCAAATCATCAATTAATTTAAATTATGCAAATGAAAAGAGATTTACCTAAAACTTAACCGTGGCTGGTGGAATAATGAGGGGCGACGGCACAAGTTTTTCAAATGGCTGGACGGCAGTGGTACGAGAGAGACTCTTGCAGCCCTTGCTGTTGATTTTCGCCCTCTGCAATGGCAAAACAAAGGTTGTGCAGCCTATTGTATAATGCCTAAATGGTCCCCCGTTTATGTTATTTTCTTTTTACGGCCAAACGAACTGTTTCATTTATTTTTCCATTTTAATCCCAAGCCCAAAATGAAGCCGTTTGGCTGAATACTTGGAATAAAAAATAGTCTTATGATATGGGCGCCTCAATTTCAAATTTTTTGAATCAAACATATACAGCTTTTAAAATTTTGATCAAACATTTTTCTACTAATTTTTAATTTAAAAATTATGATTTTTATTATATTTAATTTACCCATTAATTCACAAATTAATATCACAAATCTCCTAGAACCACAACAAACATCTTATCTTATCACAATTCGTTTGAAAAGATTTTTTTTTTTTTTTAACTCAAATAACTTTTTTATTTGAATTCTGAAAATACTCAAACATCTTTTTTTAACATACAATTACGAGATACCAACAAGATCTTCTCCGGATCATATTGATGAGGATCTTGATAATTTGTGAATTGTGTCCGTTCATCGTATTTCGTGCAGTCAGTTTTTGTCAAGTACTATTTGTGGTTAATTTTAAATAAAAATATTTAAAATGATTTTTGACCGCACTATATAAGATGAACGATGATTTTTGACCGCACTATATAAGATGAACGGACACAATTCACGGATCTCCAGAATCCTCATAAAGAGAATCCGGCGAGGATCCGGATTGTCACATCCCGGCCCGAGCCCTCACCACATCTCGGGCTCGACTCCGCCGTAGCATGATATTGTCCCCCCGACCACGCCATCACGGTTTTGTTTCTGGGAACTCACACGAGACTTCCCAATGAGTCACCTATCATGGGATTGCTCTTGTGTGAACACACTTAACTTCGGAGTTCCGATGGAATCCGAAACCAGTGAGCTCTTAAAAGGCCTCGTGCTAGGTAGAGATGAGAATATACATATAAGGCTTACAGGATCCACTCCCCTGGATGATGTGAGATGTCACACGGATTCTATGAGATATAACATGCACATATATTAAATATAACGTACCAAATGATTGGCACATTATATAAATTTTATTTGGGTACGTATTAGTATTTTGGTACGTTATAAAATATTACTTTGGGTACGTTGACACACCCCGACCTAGATCGATGCATGTTGGCCGTCACATGAGGGTGACGTAACCTACGAGTCGGAACCACCTAAAATGGTCTGTACGACAAGCATGTGCACCTAACTTGGATCCAAGACGAGCATATGGTGCGGGAGGTGAACATCACGTGAAGGACTGTGCCTTAACTCTGGGCGGGAGCACTAACACCGAAGTGCAGGTTTATGAGCTCTCAATACATCACATCAAACATTGCATAGCTGAAACAATCTCATACCTTTAATTTATAAACTTACCTAGCACATACCTGTGCATCCGCAACACCAATTATAAATATATGCAACTACTAATGCATAATAAAATAGACAGATACTTTGCATGGCATTTCAAAACATAATTTCATTCAAATTCATTGTCTGGGAAAAATCAAGTATATAGGTATATATGGAAAACCAAAAGCCCACTCACTGATATGTCGAAGAGTCGTAGGCCCCGAGCCTTGATTGATGGAGCTCGTCCTCAGGATAGGTCTCACCTATATGCGAAATAACTGAATAAACGTTATTTAAAGCACATACACCAAACTAGGAAATAACTTCTCATACATTGCTCAAATGGGGTATTTGAATATACCATCATGACCTACTCAACCTCAGGAACATCCCCAAATTTTTAGAAAAATTTGGCGAGCACCCACACGCCCTCACGCGCCGGCAAAGGCATGGCCAGACGCGCGGCTCACGCGCAGACACGTGCCTAGCACATCAAACGAATTCCCTAACGGCGTTAGGGAATATTTCGTTCAAAATCAGAATATGCCGTTAAAGTTACTTGACGGCGTTAGAATATTCCGTCAACTTTGACGGAATATTCTCCTATTTCTTCCTTGGTTCGCCGAAGTTCGACGCCGATCACTGCTGCGATCCCTGAAAATTGGGAAATTTTAAAACTTCAATATCTCGCTCATTTTTCCACCAAAACTCATGAAATTTGTACTAAAATGAAGCTGAGGATCAGAAGAACAAAACCTTACCACTTTCAAGCCTTGAAATCCACCAGATTTATCTGGAGAAACCTCGATATTCGAGCCAAATTTGAAACTTGTCAAACTCAACTTCCCGACGTCCAAAACACTTCATTTTTCTTCTCCAAGCTTCGCGAAGATGTCCTAAAGCTCACTAGCAGTATAAAATCTCCTAAAAACTTTGAAATCATGAGTGTATGAATAGTACCCCAAAACTGGGTTTTCGGGTTCTTAGGAAAATGAGGTCTTCACGTCCAACTAAGGGCATAGATAAGCTCCTGAGATCTCAAGGATCACAAAGAACACCTTCACAGCCTTGATCCATGAAGAAATTGCTTGGTTTGAGGTTTGTCAGTACGTTGTACGGAAAATGGAGAAAAACCGAGAGGGAGGAGAGAAAGAAAGGGTCAATGAGATTGGGTGTGTGTGTGAGTGTGTGATCCAGCTTGTCACCAACCAAAACTAGGAAAAATTTTAGTTCTAGTTGGGTTTAAAAACTTAGGAAGGAAAATAATTGGTCCACAACACAACTTAAACCACATAACACCACAAACGTCTAAGGGTATTTTAGGCAATTCACACCATCGAAACATTTATTTCGGGACGGACTGTGTCCAACACCACAAACCTTCATGCACGCGCGTAACATTTTTTGAATCATGGCTTACTACGCGCGACTTACATGTTTTAAATGTATTTATATGTGTAAATTGACAAAAGGAATGTCAAATATTTGAAGTAAATGAATAATTTTAGATCATGCTAGAAGAAACCCCTCATGAACCAATTAAAGCAGCTAAATTCACATAATAAAATCGGTCTCTATAGAATTTACATTAAGAATAGAGAAAATAATATTTAATAAACAATTGATTGAATCACATTATTACTAGCTCATTGTGAGGCTAAGCCCACCCCCTCCCCCTTAGTGTAGATAATATCTTTTGTTTTTTTTAAAAAAAAAACAATCATTTGACAATTAATTTAATCACATTATTATCCGCGTGCGAAAGACCTTTTTTTATAATTGGCATTACACGCATCTTAAGATGTTTCGAACAGGTTTTAAAATAGAGAAATTGAATCACATTATTGCTAGTCTATTGTGAGATACTAATTATAAAAAAAAAAAAAAACTGCACCAAAAAATAATTATTAATTGTTAAAATTACAAAATTACCCTTGTATTATTTTATGTATTCTTTTTTGCTGCTTTTGATTTTTTTTTGCTAAGGGGCATTTTGGCCATATTATTTTTTGTTGAAGTCGTGACCCTAAAGTGGGGCTTTGGCACGCGTGTAGAAGATATTTTTTTAATCATGACGTGCTACACATGACTTACACATTTTAAATATATTTATGTGCGTAAATTGACAAAAGAAAAGTCAAATATTTGAAGTAAATGAATAATTTTAGATCATACTAGAAGAAACCCCTTATAAACCAATTAAAGCAGCTGAATTCACATAATCAAATCGGTCTCTATAGAATTTACATTAAGAATAGAGAAAATAATATTTAATAAACAATTGATTGAATCATATTATTGCTAGCCCATTGTGAGGCTAAGCTCACCCCCTCCCCCTTAGTGTAGATACTATATTTTGTTTAAAAAAAACAATCATTTGACAATTAATTTAATCACATGTTTCAAACGTGTTTAAAAATATAGAAATTGAATCATATGATTGCTAGTCTATTGTGATGTACTAATTAATAAATAAATAAAATAAAATAAAAAATAAAAAAAACTGCACCAAAAAATTAATTATTAAAAAAGCACTGTTAAAATTACAAAATTACCCTTGTATTATTTTATGCATTCTTTTTTGCTGCATTTGATTTTTTTTGTTTGAGGGGCATTTTGGCCATATTATTATTGCTAGTAATCACTTAAGAAATATAATGAATAGGATCTCATTATTATGCTTAGGAGAACGACTTATATAAAAATAACTAACACAACATATTTTAAGGGGTGCGTAGCGCCTGTGATTAAAAAGGCCTCTCACATGCATGTGAGCCCCTGCGGAGAGGCTAGTGAACATGAACGCTACGTGACGGCACACATATTCTTATATAATTCGTTCTCCTAGGCATAATAAGATGACACTGCTACGTGATGACACGCATGCATACTTGCTCGCGTGCTTATTTCTTATTGGAACTTAGGCAAACATTTGACGTGGTTGTTGACAGTTGGAATATTAACTAAACATTGATTAACGTGCTTATTTCTTATTAATAACACATTAAATAATTTATATATTTAATTTAAAAATTAGTCTATCTAACATTATTCTTCTGCACAAATATAAAGAAAACTCTTAAACATTTGCTATTAAAAACTAACGCGTCAATCTGTGGTAATTAAATCCCAAATTTAATCCCAAGCCCAAAACGAAGTCGTTTGGCCTGAATACTTGGAATAAATAAAGGCGAAAAAATAAACACAGCAGCACACAGCAGCACCCAGCAGAAGCGCAGCGCTGCAACCAGAACCAAACCCAGATTCCGGCGAGCAGGGGGCAGAATCCTCACCTTCAGTGGCTATTTCCGACGATCGGAGGGGCGGCCGCCCCCTCCTTGCCCATAATTCGGGCGAACTGGACAGAAAAATCTGCTGTATCAATTCAGGTAACGCTGTCTTTTCTTCTTTCCAATGTCTTTTCATTTTGACTTCCTCAGCTGTATTGCAAAGCAACCCATAATTTTGGTTATAAATTCTCTTGATTCTGTTTTATTTTTTCTGGCATTTTATAGATATTGCCGAATGAATCAAATATGGGTTGTTTTTGTTAGGAAGATTAAAGTTGTAAGAAGCATTTTTGAGTTATGATCCTTTTGTGTGGTATGCTGTACAAGTTGAAGGTGATGATTTTTCTTATTTGTAGAGAATGATCTTTCTTACCACTGGCGGATCCATTAAGGGGCAAGGGGGTCAGCTGACCCCGAATTTCGATGAACTTTCATAGAAACCTTAGTGCTAACCTTCCGAACTTAAGTGAATGTCTATGGATATCTTAAGTGCTGCCCTTTTGAAGATTAGAGTTGGCTTCATATATGCCCTCCAACTGACTTCAGGCCTATCAAAACCCGATGAATATCCATGAATACCTTGGGTGCTGCCCCTTGCATACATTAACATGTGTGTAGTATGCATTTTCAAATGACTTCAGGCCTACCAAGACTCAATGAAATTGCGATATGCATGATATTTTTGGTATAAAAAAATTTACGCGTGTACGCTATTCTTAATGACTCTCCTAATATTATTTCCTGAATCCGTCACTTTTTCTTACTTATAAATACCAGCATAACTTGTTTGGTTTGTTCCTCTTAATCGCCCAGTGTTGCAGTATTTCACAAGTGTTGCTATGGAGCCTGAGAATGGCGAAGGTTATTTTTGCTCTTTATTTATTTTTCTTGTAACCGGTGGCTCAATTATTTTTAATTTTAAAATTTAAATAATTTTTTTTTTTGCAGATATTCTATTTGGGACCTGCAACATTGTTGCTATTATTGGTTCATGCTTTTTTATAGCTTCTGAATCACGTCTTACGAAGAAAGACAAATTGACCATTTGTAAGTTTTTTGTATAATTAATTGTTTATGTATTAGTTAATTGTATTTTTATGGGCTTATTTTAATTCAATTTTTCTTTTTGAAGCGAGTGATGACTATAACAAGATATGGAAACTTGACGATACTCTGTATCTTACCATGACTGGTAGCAAGGCGGTCGTCGAAAAGATGAAAACCCATACTAAAAATTACCTTGAACACTGTGCAAAGCAGAAACGCTTTCCTGTCTTTAAAGATGTTGCTCTGAATGGCCTCCATTTCTTGAAGAACATTGCCGATGAGAATAAACCTCGCGATTTCACTGAAGATGAGCTTCGTCATTGGGTGCTTAAGTATCAGAATGCTGCTTCGTTTTTCTGTAGTTTTGTTGATCGGGTATGTTGTTTTTGAGTTATTTATGTTTTATTTGAATTCAAATTTTTATTGGTTTTATTTTTGTGCTTCAAATTTTTATTGGTTTTTTTTATTTTTTTATTTTTTTATGCAGAAACCTGTTATTTACAGGGTATGCGTCAAAAATGAAAACAATGCACCCGTAGACGTTTCTACTCTTGCTGAGAACGCTGGATTTGATTTTCTCGGATCTAGCATGAAACAAGCTAGGAAGTACTTGGTGGAAACTGAGTTTTTCAGAAGGTATCCTTTTCAATCCTTATACATTAATGTATCAAACCTTAAATTTGTGTGTGTGTGTGTGTTTTTTAATTCAAATATCTTAACTTCTGCTGTATTATAGGTGCGAGGAGTTTGAAAAAGATGTCAATGTGTCTGTTGGTGACATTTTTTTCCAATTTGCGAAGTACTTTGCCAGGGCAATAGTGTCTTCTGCTCTTGTGGACAATTTTTCTGGTGGAGACATTCAAGGTATTTTCATTTTTTATGTTTTTCAGTTAGCTTATTCATTGTGTTTTTGTTAATTTATATGTTTTATAGAGATTTTGTTCGATGCTTGTTTTGTTTTGTTTTGTTCAGTTAAATGTATTTATGCTAGTGGGGACTGTTTGTCTTTCACATCCAATGTTGCACAAGTGTACCTGGACTCGTATGGAGATTTGGAGATGCACAAGGACATGGTGTTGCTGTTGTTTGTATCAATTGAGTCAGAGGATGGAGCAGATGTTGTTTTAAAGTTAACTCCTACGGTTAAGAAATGGGGAACTGTGGCATTCTTTCATCGGTTGGGTGTCTTTCGGAAAGCATATGTTCATCGTATTGTATTTGCCAAGTTTGTTGATTTGGGGAAGGTGAAGGAAATTTTCTCTAAGAAGAGGCAAGTAGGATGTTTTGGGTTTCCAGCCATTGAATATGACAAAGGTGTTTGGGTGTCAGGGCTCTATCCTGGTTCCGACGGCGTTCCCATCAAGGAACTGCTTTGTGGCAATTGTGTTGCTGGGTGAGTTTGATTCCTAAGTTACAAGTTACACGAGATCTTTAACACTATGTTAATAGGTAATTGGGTATTGAGTTTAAATCAATGTGCTCTGTTGAACCAGGCCATGCTTGTCAGATTGTGTGGAGATTGTGTAATTTGAGTAAGCACCTAAACTCTGAACTGTTGTATTGCACAATTGTAGCTCCTTGTTGTGTAAGATTTAAACTTCTGGTGTATTGCACTATCGTAGCTACTTGTTTTGTAATTCTGCCTTACTGATTCGATCACGAGTTAAACCTGTTTTGGTATTTGCTTGTGAAAGTGAAGAAAAAGTGTTGTTTGAAAGCTAAAAGCTCTTTTGCAGCAAAACTGTTGTAACTGGCAAGCCGTGACTTCCCTGCTCTATGTCTCTTAACCAAACAAGTTTTTAAGTTTTGGTGATTTACAAATGAAACTGTACTTCTTTTCTTTCTTATTTTTGTGATTTAGAAATAAACCCTACTTCTCTTAGTTTTTAAGTTTTCAAATGCAAGCCCACTGAAACAAATTTTCATATATAACGAGGACATGAGTGCACCATCATACTGGAGATGAGAGTTCAATTACAGATGAAGATCGAACCAGCGAGAGCAATGATATGAGACTTTGAATTTCCCGATCTTCAAATGTAAGATTAGTCCTAAAACAACATAGTTTGCTCTTTTTACCTGTCCGCTATCGAGGAATGAGTGCGTTTGAGATGAATGGCAAAGTTAAACAGTGCTTTTTCGAACTACCAATATCACAAGCCAACCTTATGCATCACCTTGGTTCTTGTTACTTTTCAAGTTTGAACCATTTCCAATTTGCATACCTGCTTAACTTGTTGTGGCATTAAACATTATGTGACCTAAACATAACTGAACAATTAGATATTTCAGTTGTTTGTTAGATCATTTCTCCTGCCCCTTACGCGTTATGTCTCCCGGAGAAACCAATTTAATTATCTTATGTAGCATGTAAGACATCTCGATTGGTGTTGAGCAAAAATTGTCACGAGGGCAAATGATTTACTCGACACAATTTCACTCTCGTTTATCTTTTCAAAGAGATTTCTATTATTTTGAGTTCAACCAATTCTAGACCTATGAGCCTATTAATTACAACCCTTTTTTGATAAAGGGATTCCCTTTTATTCTAATATGAAAGAAATGAAATTTAAGGATTGGTGTGTTTATTTGATTTTGCGACCGCACCTAGGTCGAGCCCTAGATTGCCTACGTACCCTGTTGAGGGATCAAGTGACCTGTAGTTATTTTGATTTGGGTTTGGGGTTTTTAGTGAGTAAATGACACACTAAAATGAATTGGTGTTTGGTTTAATTAGATTAATTTGGCTAAATGAACTAGGGATTCGATTTGGTGTTTCGGTTTTGTAGTTGTGTCTAGAATGTGAGACTAGACTGCCAACGTATGCTTGACGGAATCAAAACAGGCGTAGTTCTAGATGTAGCTTTGTGCCATTTGGAATTTGGTGCGGCTTTGTGCCATTTGAATTTTGACGCGGCTTTGTGCCTTTAAATTTTGATGCGACTTCTTGTCAATGAATTTTGATGCGGCTACAGGCCACTTGAGAAATTTGACCCATTAATTTTGACGTAACGTATTTCCTTCAAGCTTTGTGATTTTAGATGGTTCTCCTCTACGGAATTTGAAGTGGTTCGAAGCTGACTCCATGCCCTTTTTTTTTTTTTTTGGATTGCTCGGACACATTGTACCTCCGGCATGCCGTTTCGCTCTTGGCCCAAATTTGGTCTTTTGGTTTTTGAGCGGATGATTAAAAGGTGGGTTTCCATCTTTTAAACCATCACCGTGATCGCTCCATTTCATGCAAACAATCTTGAGTATGCCCAGATACTTTTTCTTCCTCTTTTAAATTTTGGAGGCATCTGGTAGACTGGCACTTGTTGAAAGCAGAATTGTGGTGAGTGCTATCGGATTGCAATCAATCCGTAGCATAACCATTAACCAACAAACAAATATTTGATTTGCTGGCTCATAAATCACGGCAAGGAGAGACAATTTGGGTCGCTCGTGTTTTAGTTGGATTGTTTACTGTCAGTAGCTGTGAGGAGACGAACCTGATTTTGAGCCTTCATCTGGATGAACTTGGCATCCAACAACTGCATGAGTTTAGTACCCCAAACACTTTGCGGATTTTAACACTTGGGAATTGAAATACGATTTTGAGAGCATTGGCCTCTGGTTCAAACCTTGTCAAAGCATGTTATTTTTCTCCACTGTGGACGTCAGAGAAAAGGACACGGCAGCTCTGCTATGGGACCTATCTCCATCATGACTGCCTTTTCCACCAGAGAACACAAGGGCCTTTTTTCCAACACGATCATCATCTGTCAACTGAACTGAAGGTCTTCCATTTTTGTTTACTGGTGCGAGGCTCATGCAGAAACAAGAGTGCTGCAGTTGCTTGGTGCACAGCTTCCTGTTGGGTCTTCAATTTTGAGGTAAGTTTTAAGGTCATCATACCTCCTGTCAGTTTCTCCTATCCTCAATTGGGCTCCATATGGAAATATTTCCTTAACGGTTCCTTCTAAATGTGTTCCTTCCTTAAGGTATAACAGTTCCTGCAACATTATATAGTAAACCGATGTCAGTTCTGAAGAAAAATAACATCATAAATCCTAAGAACAAACACTGGGAGAACACTGCAAGCAACAAAAGAACATGAATAACTTAAATATATGTAAGCTGCATTGACGTTAATGATAACTATGGATGGTTGGACTATCTAACTACATAGAATTTCCAATTATTGTTCTTATATTTTCATCTCTTAGTAATACTGGCATCTCAAAAAAATTGCTTCATTGACACTGATAGTTTCGTAGAAAGTAGTTGCAGTGGGTACATGAAATCAGTGCTGATTGATGGCTTGGACGAATTAACATAAAGAAATACAAATCATACTGGAAATGTAGCTAAATGAACATTGCATGAGAAAAATATTATATACCACAAACCCATCCACTTACGTTCTCTTTCAATTCACTGAAGTTGTTCACTTTACTCAATAACTCAGTTTTTGGAAGGAAAGCTCGAAGACCCTGATGAACCAATTGTGAATGTTAGTTTTGAAACTTAACAAATACACATTCACAATTTCACACACACCTCAATTCTTGTAACAAGGCCTCCAGTGTTCCATTCTGTAATTCTAACTTCAATAGGTTCATTGAGTTGTTTTATCTGTACAACGTGTCGAAAAGCTTTAGAAAAAGTTTGGATTACATTTTCACCTAACATAACCAGTCAGAGAGTAATGACCTAAATGCTACCACCTACGTAGTAGTTGCCAAGAGAAAATCAAGTATCATGAAATCATGGTAATAAAAGACTTCAAGAGTTCCGGGTTACTATTAACAAATAAATACGGTCTTCAAAATAACAGCACAGGCAACATAATCCAAAAATAAGTCATGCAGCAAGCACAAAGATTCACCATATAAATTGCCAAAGCCATATCCAATGTGCAGAAAACAAACATAACAAAGTGAGATTAGAACCTGCCTCACTCGATGCCGAGCAATTTGCCTGGAGAGCCGTCTAGTTGAAAGCAAAGGCCTACCACTGAGCCTTCTTCTATGAACCTCAGCAAATAAAACAGTGCCGGTTTCAACAACAGGCGCTTCCGCCACAGGTTCCCCCATCACAGCTTCATTTTTCACAACCCCATCTTCCCTCTGACCATAAATTCTTCTGCATCATAATTCGTATCACATAACAAGTAATCCATCTCCTTGTTACCCAAATGGGTACTTGGGAAAACATCATACACCTCACTCCTAGAGCAAAATGTAATCCGTCTACTTCCCCAGACGGGAGAATCCCTACAAATTTTCAGACTTTTCGACAACCCAATTGCGGAAAACAAGCTATAACTTGAAGGCTTTTGTGAGTTCAAATTCTAAAAATATCCCTCCTAAATTGAAATTTATTAAAATTTTAAAATTAAATTTTAATTTAAAAAATCTATTCACTATTGCAATCCTAATAGTTTAGGAATGTGATCATATAAATCATATTATATTTTGGGATATCCTTGTGGAATTCTACCATAGTTTACACTTTAGATATTATCTTATTAAAGTTGTAATTATATGAGAAGAGTAAGAAATTAATCTTACACTTCAGAACTTTTATTTTTCTCTAACAAACGATAGTGGGCTAAACCCCATAATGGCTAGTAATAATGTGGTTCAAATTTAACTTTGACGATAATTGAACCTAAGACCTCTCACTAACAAATTATAAGAATATCACTAAACTGCAGTACTAAGTAGTACAAAAATACTTTTACCTTTCAAAGAACACTTTTTTACTTTTTAACAACCAAATCCCAAATAGGTTTAACTTGTGGTTTGATCAGTTAGGTTTAACTAGTAAGTGACATGTCTCATGTTTGATTCTCATCAAGGATGAATCTAAACCAGATTATTGCTAACTCGTTGTGAGGCTAAGCACACCCCTTCCCACTTAGTGTAGATATTATTGTTTGTCAAAAAAAAAAAAAACAATGTAATTTTTTCCAAGGCAAAAATAAGATGGAAGAAAATAGTAGTGCTAGGAAAACGCAGTTTTTTAAACAAAATTATATGATTTGTCAAACTTACCAATGAAGAAAAATATCATTAAACCATAATATTAAGCATACATATCCTTCCACTTAGCACAGTTATATATACGCAGCGGCGGAGCCAGCATGGGGTCATTGGTTACTCTTGACCCCAGTAACTTAAAAAACTTCAAGTAAATTTGTGTGTATTGTATATGACCATTATAAATAGTTAAGGCAAACTAAATTACAACCTCCTTCTTCTACTTGTTCTATCACATTTGTCTTCATTTTCTCTTTTCTTGTGTGATCTATTGTGCACACCATGTGCTCGATGAAATACCTTAGTTAAAAAGCCATGATAGTCTTCAATATTACTCCACAATATCATGCACCCATCCTCTACAAGCTACCAAATAGTAGTTGTCGACATATGTTGGCATAAACTTTTGGCATATGTTGACAGGAATTCGCAAGTGCCTACTAGGTGTTCGATGAAATAGCTCAATGAAACTTTTTTAATTAATATTATGACCTCATTATTTAAAAACCCTGGCTTCGTCACTTTATATACGGCAACAACTTATGTTTGAGACAAATTAAGTCTACGAACAAACTAAGGCCGTGAAAGGCTAGTACAGCTGACAAAGTTTTCATCGTAGTTATATATATATATATATATATATGCTCCTAGGCCTTTTATACAAAAGGCAAGGTTCTAAAAGTCGCTAGGCGCTAGTC